GGTCACGCCGCCGGCGACGCCGGATTTTTCGCGGAATGGGGCATATAATCTTTTCGCGTTAAAAAGTCTTCTGACGAGGCCATCAACCCTTTGTCACAGCATTCGGTGATGTGCAGGAACAGTGTAAACATAAAAAGCAATTATACAAAAAGTAATCAAATTGACATTAGCTAAGCATCGTAATAACGATAATTAATATCAACATCAATAAAAGTTTCAAATATAAATCTTTCACATCGGCATCGTTGATATAACATTCATTAACATAGACTGTCAGCGTTAATGTAAAATTCTCCATTTCTGCTGCATTCGAACAGAAAATATATATAAAGGTGCATGAAAGGCATGGTTATATTTTTGCCCATCAAATTTTCAATATAATTAATTAGTAAAGAAAAAACATCAAAAGCACTAGAAAAAACACAAAAAAAACACTGAAATCTGCTATTTACTCGAGGAACAGTTTTTAAGTTTAGGTGACTGGGGCAGCAGAAATCGCTTTTACTGTTTACTTGAACATGCGGATTCTTCGGCTTTAGCGTATTATTTCAACAATATTGGGTTCGTTATTTATAGGGTCAGATAATTAATAATCAAGTTTATTTAAACTGTCATCAAAATTATGAACTATATAGAGCGCCCCTCTGAACACCCGTCTTGAGTAAAGAGTCTACTAATGCTTCTTCTATCATCAATCGAAATGCAGTCAAATACTACAAGGTACGCGAGCACAAATACGCACACTAAAAGCGCATGACCATGGTGCATGGTGTCCGCTCGATTGCTTTAACCGGTGACAAAAACGCACTAAAAGACACCGAGCTCCGTAACATGAAAAAACAGTGAGTGCGCAGGCGAGCTGGTGGATGTTGGTCCTGATGTAGAAAACACGAGTGTGTGGTAAAAGCAGGGAAACGTCGTCGAAGAAGAAAGACAGGGAAAAAGAACGTCTCAAACTCAGCTACTGCGTTTATTTCCTCAATGACTTATATATCCACAACCTAACCACCGACCACCGACGTCACAAGGTCAACCTTTTTTATCTATACAATCCTACTGATTGTATATATCGAGAACGTCGAAACATTTGGGGGGCGGTTTTATATTTTGTCCCACTCTTTGTTGTTGCTCAATGAAAGAAGTCCTGTTTCCGACACCGTCCTCGATGGCTATCCTTTCAAGCATTTGTATCTATTCACCAACACGCTCGTTTTCAATTCTTATTTCTCATTGATTGCTGTTATGTATATGACGATTTGACCGTTAAATAGAAATGCAGCAGACGATTTAATTTTGTATTATCAAATGTTTAGTTTTATTAAAAAGAACATTGGGCTAAACCGTACGCTTTGAATTAGTTACGATTAAAAAATATTACGGTTCAGTTCTGCTTCCGTTTTATGAATTCGGTGACGATTTCGGTTTGGTTCGGTTACGGCTCGGCTAAAAATGACGGTTCGGTTCCGATTGTTGGCTCAATATGCTTCATGTACAACACTTTGAATTCATCTGATGGGACTTGTGCAAGCTTACGCAATTCGAGCCATTGTTTAAAAAAGAATGTCCAGAAATCAAAGTTCAGAATAACTGCGTCACATGTGCTCTTGGAGGGGCTTTGACTGCGCAGGCAGCGATTGTTATATTCAAAGGAAGGAGTCGAAGGATAGGCACATGAAAGGCATTGGGTGCATTTACGGTCTTGTGAAAACGCATGCGATTGCAGGTGGAGACACCAGAAAGAAATCATCATGAGGCTCGCGTCCGGCCGAACCGGGGCCTTGACGATTGGGCTACTCGCTGCGGTTTTGTGCCTCCTGGCTCTTCACTTCAGGGGCCGTTTGTTTCCTGCAATCCGGAAATCCTCCCGCCCGCACCAGCCGACGCCACCAGCCAGAAAGAATGGTTCCGTCTTAGAAGGGTAAGCTAATTCGTTAAGTGGATGTTTCTAGCCATTTGACATAACGCAATGCCGCGTTAATATTATGTGACCTATGAGCAACAATGTCTGGGAACAGTTCAGTTGTCCTAAATAATACTGTTCATTATATTACTTATATTTTATAAAAAAAAACTCTCAAAACCCGCACCATGAGCGATAATCTGCGAATTTTCAGATGTTGGCACGGAAACATGCAATTAATAAAAAACAAAAAAACAAAAAAAAAAAAAAAACTCAGGATTTTCTGACAAATATTAGATAATTCAGAAAGGAGATACGCCTCCTTCATGGAGTCCCTCTTCTGAGCCTGCACAGAGGCCTCCCCTGCGCGGTGAAAAATTTGCCTGATGATCAGTGGCGTTACGAACACTAGAGGCATCACTTGTCCGACGGCGCCGCACTGGTCCAATGACGCTATTTAGGTTTCCACTACTTCGTTTATTTTAGAGCGCAGCTCTTAGGCATCGGTGTCCGGATTGAGCGGCGTCGCCGTCGCCGTCGGCGTAACCGCGCGTTGCATTATGGGACGTTTCTCATAATGACGTCGCACGGGACGTCACGAGGGTCACGAGTGACGTCTCAAAGGAGGAGGGGGAGGAGATTTTTTCACCCTAAATTTAGCGGAAAACAATCAACGCTATACTTAGCGGAAAAATATCCCCGCTAAATTTAGCGGAAAAAAAATTCCAAGCTAATTTTAGCGAAACGTTTCCCCGCTAAATTTAGCGGAAAAAATCCCAACTTATTTATCAAAAAAATTTCCCTGCTAAATTTATCGGAAAAATTTCCCGCTAAACTTAGAGGGAAACTCTCTCTGCTAATTTTAAGGGGAAGTTTTTCCTCTGAATTTAGCGGGAAATGTAGCGAAAATGAACCGCTAAATTGGAGGGGAGCAGAGGAGGAGGAGGGGAGGGGAGGAGGGTGAGTAGGGGCATACCCTCCTCTTCGTACCCTTCCCTCCTCCTCCTCAAATGCTGGGCTTTAATTCGGCATTACAGAGAGTTGTAAACGTCTTTCATTTTTTTTTCCGATGCAACCTGCTGTTGTACCGCCCTCGCCGCGTCCGCCATAGGTTGGGGCATGAGATTCTTAACGTCTCCTGTTCATGTGGTCCGTTCTACCTGGAGACAGGGTGTGGGTGCGGACGCCCATTCGCTGCCGCGGCCTCAGCGAGAAATTGTTAAAACCATTACTTTGGACCCTACAAGCTCATTCGCCGCCATGGGGTATTGAACTACGAGGTGCTTTCAGACGGAACCCGACCATCAGGACGCCGCCAGCTACGACCCGAAGTGGTCCATTCGACTCAAGCCGTTCTACGCGCGTTAGGATTGTGACGATGCTTGCTTATTTCGTCTCATCGCATTTATTTGTCGTTTGCCGTTTTTGGTTTGCTTTCGCATTGCATCGGTATGATGCGCTTTTTCAAAGGGGGGGGGGGGGGGGGGGGGGCGATAGTGCCGCGCTTAGGGCCGAGCAAAAAACGTTCGCTCACGGAATTCTAGAAGCTTCCCGTTCGTTTATTGTTACTCGGGGCGTAACTTCTATCATTTCGTCGTTGTTTCTTGTTCTCGAAAGTGCCTGTTCATTCTCGCCCCGAGCGCGCCACTCTCGAACCTTCTTTTGCCAAATATTCTAGATAGTGACGTACACCAGATAAAAATGACCGCATCTCGACATGGTGAATTACGTTGATTGGGGCGAAGCACTGGTGGTGCTGATGATACTGATTTTGTTCATAGGTAGTGCTGATGGTGCTGATTTTTTTTCGTCTATAAACGTTGAGCCAATGCATGCAAAGTTTAACGCGATTGTATACGCATTTGACCGCAGCGCCCTCTTCTGTATAGACGTTGAGCGGTTACATGAAACGTTTCATCCATGACATCCCCAGCTCTTGAGTTACTACCACATCTCAGAGCCCCCTACTCGTCCTGCAGTCGTGGCCGAGTGGTTAAGGCGACGGACTAGAAATCTATTTGAGTTTCCCAGCACAGGTTCGAATCCTCTCGACTGCGCAAACATTTTTTCTTTTTTTTAAGAAGACAGATGGATGGCAATCGATGCGAGCACGGATGCCGGTCAAGGCTAGACCCTAAGGAGCTTGGCCCCTAAAAACTGGCCGCGACCTTGTCGAGACAGTCAGTCTCGCTCTCGCTTGCTGTTACGCCGCCAAATCGCCGTCCACTTTTCTGCTGCCTGGACGCTGTCTTTTATTTGGCTTGGCACAAGTTCGCCCTCTAAACCTTTATTTTCAGTTCACCGTTCATTCTCTCGTCACCTTCATTCGTGACAATATGTTGCCTAGTTAGTTTAATAACTGTTTCCTTACTTGCAACAGACATCACTATGGCAGAGTACATATTCAGAAAGAAACTTTTATTTCAAATGTCATGTTCGACATGTAGTGCTCCCGTACATAGTTTTTATTTGTGATCTACTTATACTGGCTATGTTTTATAGTGACTCTAGCCTACGAGAGGCAGTTTAAAATGCTGTTTTTTTCCCTGCAACTACGCATATACTTTGCATTAACTTCTCAGCCGGCTCTACGCAGTGATAACGTTATTTTATGTGTTTTAACTTGATTTGAAAAGGAAAACTTGGTTGTGCAATTAAGGAAAACTAGCTTGTGTATAAATATGTAAGAGCCGATTCTGCTATTAAGAACTGCCCAAAACCTCCTGACATACCCAGTGACGCAAACTTATTACCCTTCAACTTAACAACTTTACCCCGAAAAATAATTTTTAAAGAAATCAAAAATTTTAAAATGGTCTAGAAATTGTTTTTGCCAGAATGAAGGGCCAACGATCACTGTTTGTTCTGTAAAACAGACTAGACCCTCCCACCCCCCCCCCCCCCCCCACATCGCCAACAAAATAAAAGTCACTGGGTATGACATTTTACAGAGCAACGGCATCGTTTGAGCTGCGATTTTAGTTCAACTTAGCAATGGTGAAATAATAGCAACAATTTGCTTAAGGGCTTCCTTAATCTAGTTGTCATCCCCTGACACGCCAATGGTGCAGCAAACATTTGCTTTCCCCGCAGCGACAACATGACCATCGTGATGGTGACCTGCGAGAATCGCCTGGAGCTGACTCTGACCAACCTCAAGTCCATCCTGGCATTTTCTAGAGCGTCCTTCCGGCTGATCATTTATGCGGATGCTAAGAACATCAACGATCTCCAATTAAGGGTAAGCCTTAAGAGTGGATTCGCCTCCTGACTATTACAAAGAAGGAAACATCTGAAAAGCAGTCGGAAGATATCTTAGTCCTTAGTTTTCCCACAGCTGGATCATCATCGTCACAAACCAACCCAGACACACGGGAAACCCCATGATTCTTATTTGAAATACGAATACGGGAAACGACTTATTTTTCGCGGGCTCATTATTTCGCGATATAGGTTAAAGCTGAAGTTTTCAAATAATTCGCGGGTTCCAATTTTCGCGACGCGCTGGGATCTGAATATATATTCCAATGTGTTTACTTTTTGTCGGCATTGTTCGCAGGACCTAGTTTTCGCGGCTCATAGGTGACTCGCCAAATTCGCGGAAATTAGGTCCTCGCTAAAATGAAGTCTTTTACAGTATATTAGAATTTGTTCTCAACGCTGTCATAAAGGGGCATCTATGGGCACTTCGAGATCCTCATCTTATGGCAAAAACTAACTCCGTAAGCATCATCGAAAATACACTTAAGCATCATCGAAAACACAAAAATCCAACAACGCGTGGCTTCTTTTTTTAAATTAAAGCGCAAACAAACACAGCGACGTGCCCGGTTGTTGCGATCATAACAAATGGGCTATGACGATGTTTAGTCCCGTTTAAGGGCAGAAAAAGACACGTGATGGTTAGTTTGTCTTTTATAGAACGCTTATGGTGAGTAGATGTAGCTCGCATCCTATAAAGACGATAGCAATAGTTAATAATGTGTCATCACCATTTATCCAAATGGTGCGAACGAGCGAGGAAAGTGCACTAAGCTTGTCGCAAGCAAGCCGCCCTTGCATCGATGAAGCACGCTTTCCAATAAAAAGCAATATCGAAATTTACAATCCATTCTCCAATCTTTGATGTAACTTAGCGCAACTCCATCGATACCTGAATATTGGAAGTTTTTTTGCTCGGGTTAGCCGAGCAAAGCCACTACTATGCTCCACTTTAGCTTGTGATGGATCGGAGTGAACGCTACGATACATCCCAGCCAATCCGGCTCTCTAACGACATCACTACCAAATAAATGTTTGGCCTAGAGATGAACAGTCCTCAATTTCATTAGCACCGCGATTTGGTATTACCAAATTCGTGGTATCGGTAATAATTGTTACACTGAAGATTTCGATGGTATCTAGAGCGTTGCATGCTTTATTCTGAGCACACTTTTAGCCTTTGTGTTAGTACAGGTGCCTTTCCTCCAATCGTCGCTCCGAAAGAAAACGGTGATTCTTTATCTTTTAAACGGCAGGGATGCCGCTTTTTAAATCATTTTATGTCATAATTTTCACTTGGACGGTTTTCTGGTCCTTTTAACAGCAAGGTACGGAAGCCGGGTGAAGCTTTTACAGTGACCGCATGAATCGGCATGCTAACATATCGCCCTACGATATACTGCAGAGGTGCCCGAAGGTGGTGGAAGCATCGTGTTAATATTTTAAAGAACGAACTTACCAAGCAAAGTGCACAAAGACGATTTTTGTTTTTGTTTGGACCTACGGCGTCCGTCTGCTTGCCGGGCACTCTTTGGGCACTCGTTGACTGGCGCAACAACCGGCAGATGGCGGCAGCGGCCCCGCGGCGGCTGACGGCCGCTCAGCAGCCACCGGGCAACACCACCTAGACAGCTTTCAAAGCCTGCGCGTCACGTGACATGACGTCACGTCCCGGAGGCCTGCACGGGCGCTGATTGGATGCGAGTGCCGCGACAGCGTTCGCGTGGGACTCGTTTCCTATCATAGTCCCACGCGAAGGCTGACGCGGCACTCGAATCCAATCAGCGCCCGTGCAGGCCTCCGGGACGTGACGTCATATTGTCACGGGTGGTGACCAATAAACAAGAAATAAACGTTTAATGTGGCGAACTTGTGCCACAAATAAAAGGGTACAAAAGATAATAACAGAGCGTCGCGGGCGTCGAAGTCGGCGTAGCAGCAGAGTCGAACGCTGGGGCGAAACTGACTCCGCTCGCCTTGCGGAATCCCTTATGTACCCTCGTGGGTTTCTGGATCGTTCGGCGTTGAAGGTTCGGCGCGTAGAACATTCTAGCCTCGAATAAGCAAGACGGTTCTCGAATTCACCAGAACATCGCATTACAGTGTCAACAAAAATGTGTAGCTGCGGGCAGGAATCGAACCCTGGCCTTCTGCGCGGAAGGCAAGCGCGATAACCGTTAGGCCACGCGCGCCCAGCCTACTTGGGCCAGCGGCGCACGCGGCATTACTTCCCCCTTTAAAAAGTGCATCGTCCCGATGCAACTCAAAAACAAAACAGAGCAAATAAAAATAACGGTAAACTGAAGAGTCATTTGGAACACATAAGGTCCACAGTCCTATCGAGCGTAGTATGGCTTCAGTCGCACGACGTGGACGACTTCCGGTCGTGGAGGGCGGCGTGACGAAGTCCGTGTTCCGTCGGGCATCACCTCGTAGTTCAGATCCCCGAGTCGACGAAGCACTTTGTAGGGTCCGAAGTAACGTTTCAGGAGTTTCTCGGTGAGACCGCGGCGGCGAATCGGTGTCCACACCCACACCCTGTCTCCGGGCTGGAATTGGACGTCCCGACGACGAAGGTTGTAGCGGCCAGTGTCGACACGTTGTTCAGCCTTAATTCGGAGTCTGGCGAGCTGACGGACTTCTTCTGCCCTTTGGGAAACCACTTGGGCGTCGTCGCTTGCGTCGACAGCCGGTTCGTGGGGTAACATAGCGTCCAGCATTGTCGTTACCTTGCGCCCATGCACCAGTTGAAAGGGTGTCACTCCGGTGGTCTCTTGTACGGCCGTGTTGTAGGCAAATGTGACGTACGGCAACACCTCGTCCCATGTCTTGTGCTCCACGTCGACGTACTTGGAGATCATGTCGCCGATGGTCTTGTTGAGTCTCTCCGTTGGCCCGTTGGTCTGCGGGTGGAACGCCGTGGTGCGACGATGGCTGGTGTGGCTAAGACGAAGGACTTGTTGCGTCAGCTGGGCTATGAATGATGATCCACGGTCTGAGATCAGGACTTCGGGAGCGCCGTGCCGGAGGACGATGGATTCGATGAAAAACTTCGCTACTTCAACAGCCGTCCCTGATGGAAGGGCTTTTGTCTTGGCGTACCGCGTGAGATAATCGGTTGCGAAGATGATCCATCGGTTTCCTCGCGTCGACGGTGAGAAAGGTCCGAGTAAATTTATACCGATTTACTGGAATGGGGAAGATGGCGGCGCAATAGGCTGAAGAAGTCCTGCCGGTCTCGTCGGTGGCTTCTTCCGTCCTTGACACTCGTGGCAAGATCGGGTGTAGTGGTGCACTGTCTTCGCAAGCTTGGGCCAGTAGTACTTTTCGCGTATCCTGGCAAGAGTCCTGCTGTAACCAAGGTGTCCCGTCGTCGGGTCATCGTGGCATGCTTGAAAAATTTCTTTTTGAAGACTGGAAGGGACCACCAACAGCCACGCCGTGCTGTTGTCGCCGAAGTTCTCCTTGTAGAGCACACCTTGTCGGATGGAGAAGGTTGGCACTGTTCGTACAAAACCGCGGGGAACGGCGCTTCCTTGTCCCTCTAGGTGTTCGATGAGTGCTCGCAGCTCAGGGTCGTCTTGTTGGAGTGCTGCCATGTCGCTGACATCCAGAGCGCCAAGAAAACACTCATCGTCGTCCTCTTTGGTGCAGGAAGGACCGGCCTCGACTGGGGCCATCAACAGGCAGTCGGCGTCATTGTGCTTCCGGCCGGACTTGTACACCACGGTCATGTCGAACTCCTGCAGTCGTAGGCTCCACCGGGCGAGGCGTCCGGAGGGGTCCTTAAGATTCGCCAGCCAGCAGAGCGAGTGGTGGTCTGCGACCACGCGAAAAGGACTTCCATACAAATATGGGCGAAACTTTGTTATTGCCCAGACGACAGCGAGGCACTCCTTTTCAGTCGTTGAATAGTTCGTCTCCGCGTTAGACAGCGTCCGACTTGCGTATGCGATGACTCGCTCTGCTCCGTCCTGCACTTGGACTAGTACCGTACCCAGCCCGGTGTAACTGGCGTCGGTGTGGATCTCGGTTTCAGCAAACTGGTCGAAATGGCCAAGAATCGGGAGCGTCTGGAGTCTTCGTTTGAGCTCGTCGAATGACCTCTGGTGTTCTTCTGTCCACTCGAACCTTACGGCGTCCTTCGTGAGGTGTGTCAGCGGTGCGGATAGTTTTTTCGAAGTCTCGAACAAAGCGCCTGTAGTAGGCACAGAGTCCGAGAAATCTTCTCACTGCCTTTTTGTCAAACGGCGGCGCAAATGCAGCTACGGCGCGGGTCTTCTCGGGGTCAGGTAGAACACCTCTGTTGTTCACGACGTGGCCGAGGAACTTTAGTTCTCCATAGGCGAACCGACACTTTGTTGGCTTGAGTGACCGGCCGGCGGTCTTGATGGCTTGAAGCACGGCTCGAAGTCGTCTTAGGTGTTCATCGAAATCTCGTGAGAATACCACGACATCGTCCAGGTAGACGAGGCAGCTCTGTTATTTGAGACCTGCCAGCACGGTGTCCATGACGCGCTGGAAGGTGGCTGGTGATGCGCAAAGTCCGAACGGCATCACTTTAAATTCGTACAGTCCGTCGGGAGTGACAAAGGCAGTTTTCTCCCGGTTACGTTCGTCGACTTCAATCTGCCAGTAACCACTCTTCAGGTCCATCGACGAAAAATATCGGGAGTGACGCAGTCGGTCTAACGTATCGTCTATGCGGGGGAGCGGATAGACGTCCTTCTTGGTCACAGCGTTCAGTCGACGATAGTCCACGCAGAACCGAAGGGTTCCGTCCTTCTTTTTTACAAGGACGACTGGGGACGCCCATGGACTTCTTGAGGGTTGAATGATGTCGCCGTCGAGCATCTCCTGGACTTGATCTTTAATCACTTTCCTTTCCTTTAAGGAGACTCGATATGGCGACTGGTGGACAGGGAGTGCGTCGTCGTCAGTAATAATGTGATGTTTCGCCATTGGTGTTTGGCGAACTTT